TGGCCGGGAAGGACCGTGTGTAGGGAGCGGAGCAGATGTTTCTGCACAGCTGTACATGCAGCCCTGCAGGACATTTTCATTCATTTTAGACATTTTATAGATCAAATGGTTCATCAAATTATTTAAATATCCATTAGAAGCAATTAATAATGAATGTAGTTATATGGAAATATGTATGTAGTAAGTGGAATACTTGTCATGCGCTTTTGTAGTCTTTAGCGCTTTAACACTACATGACATTATTCACCCATTCATACACTTATGACAGCAGCTACCATACAAAGTGCCTCCTGACCATCAGTAACTAACAGACTGCAGTAACAGCTACAGGAGCAATGTTGGGGTCAAGTGTCTTGCCCAATCGACATTAGGGTTAGCCGGGTCTGGGATCAAACCACCAATTGTCTGATTGGTGGACGACCGTAATCACTCCCCGCCCAACTGCCCAGTTGATTGAGTTCACTAGACACACCTAATGATATTGTTTTGGTAGAGTAATTCCTACACCACTTGGCTAATGAATACGTTTGGACACAAAGTGGAAGAGATGAAGTGTTTCCTCTACCTACCATGTGCGTACACAGACAGACCGGCTGGCCTGCGGTCTGTCTCTGCACCGGTGGTTCTTACCGCAGAGCAATCACTTAAAAGATTCATGGAACAAATTAAAACTTGTGGAAATTGGCTTCAATGTTGGATCCCGATTAAGTTGACAGTGGGAACATTGAGTCTAAAATAACAACCAACTGCCAGCTTAAAAAATGTTGAGGGCATTTGGCCAGGCGTCAGGCTCAGTGAGAAAGAGCTTGAGCTGAGATGTATCCTCTCATTTTACAGGATTTTTGATTTCAATACAGCGTGGAGTTAGGAATTAGAGAAGCACTTTATCCGAAGCCATGGGGGCTCAGTGCAGAACACCTCGTTCCGATTCAGGTCTCAACTCTGGTCTGCTTGAAGTCCTAAAAGCATCAAGATAGGCTGCTGGGAGTTCATCTCATTCCTTATTTATCTGGGCCGCAGGTCCACTGGCAGAGTCCAAGACAACGTTGTTGAAGATACGTGAACCGGTGAAAATCTGAAGAGCTGCACAAAATACGTGTAGTCATTCTGGCCGTGGTTACAGTGTCCTTTTCATTAAGACTTTAGTCATTCCATCATGCCTGGATGTCTGTTTGCTCTGAGGTCAGATGTTGCTCGCACGGAGATCCACGTGCTCATGTGGTCTGGCTTGCATTGAGTACAGATCTTAACAATTTATTGATGAATTAGAAAAACTTTTTAGCAGCTGTTCTTAAATAAAGCGATTGTACTGATACTGTAGGGAGAACAAATACGCATGAAATGCTTTATTGAGGATACGGATTTGCCATTTGTTAGTGGCTATTCTAAGATTTTTTTTTTACTGAAAATACGAGCAAGCGGCACAAATTTCATTTCTTTACAAATTTCATTTCTTTACAAGAAATGAAATTTACAAGAAATGAAATTTGTTTATCCACCGTTCTACCATCCACTTCTTTAATCACAATAAGTATTAAGAGTTAACACGGCCGTCGTTTGTTGACAGTGATCGGCATCGGTTCGATAAATATATACGATAACTAAGTGAGTTTCCACACGGAACGCTCAACACTTGAGTTCTTCCACAAAAAAAAACGCTCAACAGCCACAAGAATTCAATCCACCGTGTGAACGAGACACGAGTCTCTTCTTCTCTCGGTCAGCAGCTGTTCTGACTGACACTCGTCAAGCGACCACACTGGCGGGATCATAAGAATAACGGGACGGTTCTTAAAGATAGAATGAAATTAAGCGAAAAACCCCGAACACAAACCTATTTAATTCATTCCACTGCAAGGGTGGTCAGATGTGCAAATGAAAAATGTCCCCAATCAGCTTAGAGGGACAACACAAATAAAAAGAGGATAACAACATTTTTAAAAAAAGGACAGGGAACATTCTTGTCAATACGTAAAAGGAAGCCAAGCATTTTCATGGATAAGGAAAAGGATGTTAGAGAAGGGAAATGCTGGCAAGAATTGTAGGGCCGCACCTGACAACAATTAACTAACTAATTGGACTTTAAAAATTCACTGAATTGATCCTTTCTCAAAAGCTCAAGGTGATGTCTTCAATTCTCTATCCGAAATGGAAAGTAGTTTAAATGAATCTATTGGTTCCAATAAAAGCACAAAGTGGCACGACACGGAGAGAAGCAGGAGGGCTGCAGAGAGGGAACTCTTTCTCTTTGAAAGAACTATGATTGACAGCAAGAATCAAAAACTAACCGTCCCAAAAAATTCTCCACTTATAGTGGTGATTTGGATTTTTAAAAAAGAGAAAAATGATTTACAAATACATAACATAAACTACTTGGCTCTACTGTTCCAGATTCTCTTTCGGATATCTATGAGTGTGAAAAGAGGAAATCAATGGTGATATCAAGTTGTTCTCTCAATGGCCGAGGGACACGCCTACATTTTAAGCTAATAAGGCAGTACGAATGTCTCTGCCTTTAGTACACTGATGCCGCTGTCAATACGGCCTCCTTGGCGCCGCCCAGTCTACATCTGTGCACCGGATTCATCAGCCCCAGCACCACCAGTGTCCGGACTCCATAGTTGGGGGGGATCCATTGCAAATCTCCAAGGCTTTATGATCACACCTTATCTGTTACGGCCAAAAAAAGAACCAGACTCAGCATCAAACGGGTTGGATATGAAAGCACTACAAAGAGCTTTTAATAGCTAAACTATGAAAAAAGAGAATTCTTCTTCTTCTTTTCTATTTTCTTTTTCTTTGTTGTATCCAGCCACTCTCCTCCAAGGTCATTGCCCCCGCCCACCCTCACTACAGGCCCCCAGCCATGTTAGCATGTTGTTGGCATATGTATTTACTGAGCGACCAAGTGGCACTTATCTCCCAGCTTGGTCATAATTAGTGCAACTCAGTCCAGGGCAAAAAGCCTGTTAGGAGGCATATGTTCATATCCTGGTTAAAGACACACTGCTCCCTCCGGGGGATCCTCCTGTGTGTGTGTGCGTGTGTGTGTGTGTGTGTGTGCGTCTGTGTGTATGAGTAACAAGTGTGGCAGCAGACGTTGCCGTGGAGCCCTACCCCCGAGCATCCATTAACACAGCCCACCACGTTCCCTTCTCCTCGGCTACCTGGCCCATCGCTGAGAGAGAGGCCACTTGAAACCCGGGGGGGATACAAGTTCACCCGAGTGTACGGAAGAGGAAGGCGACAGGAAGGAGCAGGGGGGGAGGGACGGGGGACGGGAGGGCGGCGGGGACCTGGGTGAGAGGAGGAAGGGGATGAAACGGGTTTGGAGAGGAGGAAACCGGAGAAGGGTGGGGGCGAACAGAGAGAGACAGTCTGGCTCACGGCCGGGTGGTTCGCCTGCCTCAGACGGCCAGCGTGCAGGCTGCATGGAAGCAGTGCAGCGCGGGACCATACGTGCAGAAGCCCGGCGACTGAAGGGAAGCTCTTCAGAAGGCCGGTGCCCGCCAAGTCACATGCACTACTTACCGTAGAAGAGGCGAGGGAAGCTGCTTAAAAACATCTTCCTAAGCCCCCCCCCCGTTTGGCAGATGATGCTCTAACGGTATCCTCTTTAGATGGGACGTTACATGATTGCACATAATGTGTAGCTGGGTCCCGGGCGTTGTGCCAACGAGATGTCAAGGAAAGTGAACACGCATCAAAACCTGCACGAAATAAAGTTTCAAAGCGTGTCCACGTAGAGCTGCTTTAAATTCACCGTGCTTCTCCTTCATCATCTGATCAGTGATGCTGAAGCACAGACGCTGTCCCACTTTCCCCCAGCCCTCCTCTCCCTTTTGATAAATGAGTGGTAGGGAAGAGAAGGAAGGATGAGGGTGAAATGCCTTCTTTTTTCTTTTGAGCATGAGGTGCTGCTGCAGCTTTGCTTGCTCACCACTCAACTGCACGATGAAGCGATTACAGGATGATGTCATTTTTGTATTAGAGCGTTTGGATGATTAATGGATAGTCAATTATCAGTTATTTTTGTCGTCAAAAATTCACTGGTTTCACCTGCACACAAGTCCATATTGCCACGTTTTTAGAGATAAGAGTGTCATACATAAATCTCAAACATTCGGTTTGGGACTCTGGGCTGATCAAAAAAAGCATATTTATTTCTATTTGTATTTGGGATTTTGTAGTGGCCAAATTACTATATTCTCTGATATTCAAAGAGTAGAGAATGTGTTTTATATCGTGAAAGATGGCAAAACTATGACGTTTGGTTTGATATAAAAGGCCATGACGTCACCTTGTCCAACAAAAAACACAGCTCGTCTTTACAATCGCATTCGTTCCTATTTCCAATCAGGTAGGAGCTCACATGCAGTCGCCCTCCATGAGACCGAAGCTGCACCACGCAGCCTGCGCGCGAGACGCGCCGGCTCGCGCAGCGCGCCCTCTAACGGACACACCGCGACCATTAATCCACCAGAGAACCATGCTAATCACATCTTGCCTTTTGCATTTGACGGAAAAACTCCCCAATAAGGCCCTGGAGCTCCAGGAGCGCGAACCCACACAGCACGGGAGGGATACACGTCAACGCCAAAGGGCCCGCCGTCCATCACCCGGAGACACGAACGACACAACTCCCGTCAGACTACCGGCGCTAGTGCCCGTTTTACACTCGTGTCCGCGGTGTATTACAAACGAGCAGGTTGCCCACTTAAAAAATAAAAAAAAAGCTCTGAGCAAAGGAGTTCCGTATCCTGCGTCTGTTACAGGAGACCTCGCGGTCCGCCGGCCCGCTGGCCCGGCTCCGCTCAGGTGTGGTGATGAACCCACGTATGAACTTAATGACGTAAAGCGGGACATGTTGAAAACATACTAGCGATAAATTCAAAGTTGGCAAACAGAGAGCCGGGTAAACGGTTTGTTTTAAGAAGAAGGGGTAAGTTATAACTTGAGCAATACGCGTCATTGGATGCATACGCTGCACTTCGACTCACCTTGAGCGGCCGTTCCTCGGGTGCTGAATACACTTGCTATCAAAGTGGCCACATACCAAATCATAGTACTATTGCCGGCCAAAAATAAACCTCAGCATATCTCAAAGTGCCCCTTTCGGTTAATCTCTCATCTCCGAGTGTCCCAGGACGAACTGAAGAGGGCCGGTATCCCGTTTTCTTTTTAACCGAGCCCTGGACACTTTTCCATCGGCGCGTTCCCCTCTCTCTTCCCCTCTCCTCCGCGCTCCTCTCGCATCCTCAGACGGATCACCTGCGCCAATGGGACGAGAGCAGACGACGCAGTGAAACCAAGCGCGAGCTCCCAGATAAGCGCAGCCCCGCCTCTGCACTTGTTCCATTGAAGGGCGCGGGAGGAGGTTCGGCCGCCCATTGGCCGACTGCGCTGTCTGTTTCTCATTGGAGTGTTGCATTCACTGAACACGGCAATGCTCGGAGATTCTATAGGAAAGTTAAAGAATACAACCTCATTGGCTCTTGAGTGGCTGGAAAGACACAATCCTTTATCATAAATGCTTTTTTCTCAAACCGTAACATATTTCAATTTGCACTGACGAAACAATATGAAGATATCACTTTTTCAATGCTATACTAGCAATATGTGAAAAACATTACTCTTTATGCTATTTTCTTCTATTTAGTGTCTTTTCTTTTTTTTTTTTTTTCTTTCGTAGTTTGTGGGTGAAGACATTACTGTTATTATTATTAAAGAAGGCTGTGGTAATAACGTTAAAGAAAATGCAACATGTATATTATTATATTAGTTTAAATAACACCTGTTGTAACATGGTAACCATCCTAAGGTTTAAGTAAGACTAAAACTCGTTTTATATTTTCAATGATTGAGTTTACCGTGCACCATGAACTAGGCCTTCAGTATCTCAACTGCAGTTAGGGAAATCCAACAGGTGGCATCCAATCCACAGCCCCCGGGCATGTTTAAGATGGTAATGCAGCCATTACTTCACTGTAGGTGTTCATGCCGGACATTATATGTTGTTTTGTCCGAGGCTTCAAGCGTTTTGCACAAAACTGGAAGTTTCTAAATTGTCGCAAAAAGGATGATTGCATCTCCCCGTTTTTGACATAGGACGTGAACGCAGCAGCGAAGGGAACCTTAAGGTGGGTTGGAGTGTGAAACCCGAGGCGGAGCTGCGGCATCATCCTGCGTATTTAGACGAGAGGGATCCTCGAGCCTGATTGTGTGCTTCATCATATGGATCACCGCCATGTGCTATCCATACATTCTGACAAAGCATCCACTATGTGTAACTGAAGCAGTAGGAAAAAGGAACACAATGCACTGTGATTATTGAGCAACGACTCAAATGATTTGAATAAATGGATGGATCTTCATCGAAACGGTGATTAATTTAGTCAAGGGCAGTTTCATATTCACCTGACTCATTCGGCCTCGCTCACAGAGCATCCTCTGCATCAGAACCACTTTTCCCCCACCTCCAATGTCAGGAGCCCCGCTGCTCCTGCGGGAGGAGGAGGTTCTAGTAATAGCCTTCAGCAATATGACAAATAAATCTTCTCATCATTTGCTATTCATGTCAAATGTACTCGGCTAGTTTTTCTAGTAGTTTTCTAGTATCTAGTATTTTTTATCAACACATTTCCCCCACGCTGGCCAAATGATGATAAATGCGACAGATGCTACACATCATCTTGCAACATCAGATATTTGTTTGCAAATATATATGAATCATAATATATATAATCATAATACAAATATGACATGCCCCAAAAATATACTTCGAACTGACTACTCCTCTCTCTGTCTCTCTGTCTCTCTCTCTGCCTCTCTCTCTGTCATTCTCTTTTTCTCGGGGCACCTTGATCTGCCTCTCTCCTTAATGCCTGCCAGTCCTCGGTTACTCGCGTTGACTCTCTCTTCCTTATGATACAGCCAGGAGTTTTTTATGTCAAGTCCCAGCATGTCAGCGCCTATGACCGACTATTCAGATGCAGCCGATGGCCTTTTTCCTGATGCTCAATAGTCCTTCAGACTGACGCTGTGGGAGCGCAGCCATGTCTCAGAGTTAACTGTCACACTGAGCGCCGTGTCTTAAAAAAACTGTGTGAAGTGCAAATGCTATATTCAAATTCAGCACTCATGGCGTTTCTGTGATCTTTTCACACTCGGCTCGCATCAGGTTTTTGTTCTTTCCTGGTGACTAATGAGCCAGGTGGCTGCTGTTTGTGGCTACTGCACTGTATGTGTGGTAATAATGAAACACAACATGGTTTTTTTTAGGTTTAAAGGATGAAATTCAGTCTCCCAGCAACTTGTCACCCGGTTCCGCGTAGAACATGTTGGCTTGAGGGGGATAGTGAGTAAAGCTGAAAGAAACAAACATTAAAATTATCATAGTTTATTGACAAATATCAGCAACAGGTTTGATAATAGGTGATGTCATAACCAAAAATACTGAACATTCACTGGTTCCAAATTCTCAAATGTAGAAATGTTATCAAAGGGACTGGCAACACGCAACAGACCAGAGAATAAGAACATTTGGAAAAAATTCCCAGTTAGTCACACTGCATTGGCTTGTCAGGGGTTGCGTGGGAGGCAGGACTCAAACGCAGAGTTTAAACAAAAGAGACCTTAATAGTCAAAACTCCAACAAAGTAACAGGCCAACGGGCAAAAAAAAAAACCCGCGAGACATCCACGATGATGGACAATGACGCGACCAGTGACAGGAGACACACACACAGCTTAAATACACTAGGGAGGTGCAGGTGATTGGACACAGGTGGAAACAATCAGACAATCACAGGATGACAGGACAAGGCAGGAAGTGAAGTTACCCAGGGAGACAAGAAGCAGAAAACTACAAAATAAGACAGGAAGTGAACCACACCGTGACATAACTTGCTAAATGTCTCCGCTTTATTGTAGTGAAGCTTCATTTAATGAAGAGTAGATATCACTCAGCACACAAAACCTTCAAGGTAGTTTAGCCAACATTTCAAATAAATGTGGTGAAATGAATAAACCAGAGTGTTGAAACTGACTGAAACTTCTCCTAGGTAGCTGGTCAGAAACACAACAAAGCTAATACACCATTTTCAGTGGCCTGGAATGTAGTGAGTGGGCTCTGTGTGTCCTGCTGAGGGAGATGGCTAATGTGGAAACAGGTTAATCATGTGCCTGGGAGCACTCAGTCTGTACTTGGGGGGGAATCATTGCCCCCCCTTGTAGCAGTTAGTCAATATGGCTCCAAATGGTGATCCAACACATGAGACTCTCCCTTTTCACCACTTTAGTACTATGCCAGTAGTTTATGATGATGAGCCATGGCCGGATTCTAAAGCCTGACAATGATCGCCGTGTTAAATTCGCATTAAGAAACCAATTTTGAAATTATAACTCCTTCAGAATGTGTTATGGTCATAACAGTCTAAAATTGCTTTACATGCATTCTAGTGGTGTGTCTTTATCAACAGGAATGTCGGTCAGCTCACCAGCTGAGAGTGACATCGTTGGGTCGGCCTGCATGCACAGTCCACACACACACACACACACACACACTAATCAAGGCTGTTTGTCTTCTTCCGTAAAAGGGTCACGTGATAAGTGAAGAACACGTTGTAACTGCTTCGATCCAATCAGGTTTGTACGTTAATGTCTCCAAAGTTCATCCGTATGCACCATAAGGGAATCCCAGAGTTTTCAAAATAACATTATTGCTGCTTGAGGTGAAACTGAAGGCCGAACTTAAAGGTGGACGAGGCCCGAGCGAAAGTTTTTAAGACAGAGCTTCACCTCGTTTCTGGCCATCCTTCACATTTCAGTCAGAACTCAGGCCATATTTGACCGCTTTCAAAAATACTGCAATCACATTCTGTCTATGCAAATGACAGGGCTACAGTCGGCACGGTGGTGTAGGACATCAATTAGGGTTGTCTGCTGGCCTTCCCCCTCGCTTGCTCTTTCTCACACAGTCATATTGTGTCTCTTCATTACCTCGACCCAACGCAGGCGAACTAAAGGTCCAGCTGGCATGCTGCCCAGGCCTCCCCCTCAAACCACGACCACGGGGAGTGAACCAAAACGCACAAACAAACATGTGATATCCAGGTCACTAAACAAACTGCATTCACCGACAGTATACTGAAGTCATTAAAGTGTCATCAAAGATTTTAACAGCATTGAGGATGTGCTTAATGCAGTTCAAAACATTTCTATAATCATGTTACTGACAGCCAAACGCCTTCAAACTCAGGAAAGAACATAATCACAGCATTTTCAGACCACCCAAGATAATATACCACAAACAACTCAAGGAGATGTATGTACTGTAAAAGAGAGGAGAACCCAGGATTAAAATCTAAAAAAATCTATTAGTCAATTTAACATATATTGGAAAAATATTTATAAACAACAAAACAATGGTGTACATCAATTAACTTTTTTCTTCTGTATATTGAGATGTTCAAAGTTGTGATGCACCCCATTACAATCCAGCCAAACTAACAAACGAATGTCTTCAGCTGACCAGCAGTTATGTTGTTATCGCAACATGCAGCGCAATCTGATTTAAAGTCAGAACATTTCCCACAGCACCAGCCCTCCTGCTCCCAAATGTTTGTAGCAGTCCACACGCACACACATAAATAAGTTTACTCTGTTGGATAACAATATTTTTTTGGTCTGACGACTTCTTGATGTGTAAAATATCACAATCGCTTTCTGAGAAAGATAGCGTGATTGAAGAGTGTGTAGTGCCTCCATTGAGTCAGACAAAACAGTTGCCACTTCCCTTCATTCAACCAACAGTGGTAAACAGAAGTGCTCTTCGTATTCCCGTTGCCAGTCAGTCTTTCATGATTTTCTAAAAGAGAAGGAACGTAGTTTCCATCTTTGCAGCTCTATAAACAGTCTTACTGAAAATAATTCTTGACATTTTCAGGAAAAGCAATATCCCCTCTGAGTTACGCAGAGTTACAATACATCCCATTTATCCATGTTGTCAAATAGATAAATCAATATTTCTGCCTCTTTATGACAACCCAGACTTAACAATACCAATGCCTTGTCTGATGTGACCAGTTTTAGGAATTCAAAGATACTAAATCATAGTCAGTTGTGTCTGCAAACTGTCACAGCCCGGCTCAGGCAAAACATACACAGTAAAATACATAAATCTAGAAATGCACATTCGGTGCCAAACACTTTCCTGGTATAGCACCTGATTTGAATAATTCCTGTATTTAAAGATATGGTGTCTGTGTTTGTGTCATAGTGGT